CAGGAACAGCAGAGCTGCTTACGCAAAAGGTAATTAAAAAAAAAACCACTCTCTAAGACAGCATCAGAAAGGTTACCACTTGGAAACTCAACAGCAACAACGTTTTGCCACCAAGAGCATAGCAGTAGCTTTGGGTCTGGGACCGAAGTCTTGAACAGAGAAGCGGAAAGTCCAGAGGCTGTTAACGCGTGGTCGCAGGGCTCCACGCATCGTCCCTCGGCTCTGTCCTCGACACCCTGCCAACGGTGCCGCCGCCGGGCCGCACGCTGGTTCGTGACTGAAAGAAACCTGAATTGGAGTTTACCGAGGTAGTTGGCTAGAAACTGAGATTCCCCCACCTGGCATTTTCTCGAAGGCCCAAGCATCCCTCGCCCCCACCCCGCTCCTCCTCCTCCTCCTCCTCCTCCCGTGCCAGGTGCCCGGCTGTCCTGCAGGTACTGCCACCGCCTCCAGAACACAAAGCCTTCTCAAAGAAAAGGGAATGCGCAGCCCTTTTAAGTCTTCAAAAACACCAAGTTATTGCACTTCAAAAATACAACAGATTTGTGGTTCGAGCCCTCCCCACCCTCCCCATGGCTTCTGCTCAACTAAAACGATTCACTACGCACAATTTCTACGTTACCTTCGGGTTAGGTTAAAAGGTTCAAGCCGTGTCTCTTTACATGAGGTGCAGAGCTGCTGGAGCTCCTAGCTAGAACAGTGCGATTCCAATCATACGTCTCTTCCCTCTCACCCCGTGCCCCCCAGCCCCAGCCCTAAAAATCCCCTCTATGCTTGCTGGGTTTATACAAACCTCCCTCACCCCCCGTTATTTAACAAGACAATAAAAATGCACACAGCTTTGGAGATGCACGGGAGCCGGATGCCCGGCAGATCTGCAGGGGAACTCCACCCATCCCCCCGTCCTGGTGCAGGGCAGCAGAGCCCAGCGCTGCCGATTCTGCCCGCCTGGCTTAAGACACTTTCCTTACTTCAGACTCCAGTTCAGGGTCAGGCTTAGAGTGGGGTAGTTTCCCAACCAAGAAGCAGCTCAATGGTTTGTATTTTGTTTGTGGTTTGCTTGTTTTGTTTGTTTGTTTTCTCTTTTTCTCTCATTTTAATGATTAATTTGGAATAGGAAAGTCAAAGGAGATCAGGGAGGGAGGGAGATGAGGTGGGAGAGGACTTTCTCCCCCTCCTCCAGTTTAATAAGCACCAGAGTATTCAAGTCTGTCCGTTCTGAGATTCAGAGCTGCTTCCGCAGTCAGCAGGCAGAAACTAAACCTTTCTCATAAGAGCAGCGTCGTTTTGGTTGGGGTCCCTCATCATCGTCATCTTCTTCCTCATCTTCCTCCTCCTCTTCCTCCGATGATGAGCTGTCCAGTGTTAAATCCACAACGTCAGCAGTGGCCTTGCCGTTCTCACCGTTACCGTTCGGAGTGGGCAACAGCCCATTCACATCTGAAGAACCTGAAAGAGGTGGGGGAAGAGAGAGGATTCATTAAGACACTTCAACGCCCAGCGCAGGGGATGCTCCGACACTCTTGATCTCTCACGGCTGTGTGAAACAGGATATTTCAGCTGGAGGGGACCTGGCCAGAAGGTCCAGCAGGTTCTCAAGGGCATTGTCCAACGCCTCTCAAACACTGACAGACTTGGGGCATCGACTGCCTCTTGAGGACGCCTGTTCCAGTGTTCGACCACCCGTGGGAAAGACACGGTGCCGAAGGTCCAGTGTAAAAGGCAAACGGGTGCATGAAAAATTCCATTCCAGCAGCTGCCTAAAAACAGAGCCGATGCCACAAACCTGACGTGCTCTCCAGGGTCAGGAGTTGCCACAGGGCCCAACGGCCTCTGCCCGAGAACCAGGAACTGGCTCGGCCAAAGCAAGAAGCTACAGAGCTGCACCACCAACCCCATCAGCGGACACCACCGCTGCCAGAGGGACCTGGTCTCGTGCGGGCTGCCCAGACAGCCCTTCTAGTCAAAAATCCTCTTTTCCCCACAAAAAAAAATGTACAGTGCTGTTCTGGGCTGGTCTTGCTGATGACATTTCAGGGGTCGCTGCACAGATGCATCCACCGACGAACTTGTTCGACGCCATTCCGGCAACAACGCAGCCTTGCTGAATAACCCTGTCTGGGCCGGGCCCTCCTCCGCAGGGGTGCGACGCGCCCTGGCAGTGCTGGCTGCTTCTGGAGAGGCTGAAAACGAAGGGGCCATCCACAGGGAGCTCTCCAAGAGCCAAACTCGCGCTGGGGTATCACACAGCTCTTCCCAAGGCAGCTGGGGAACTCTGGTTTTGCAATTTGTGCACATTTCCTACAGTAATTTGAAGTCTTTAGCCCCAGAGATACTCACCTAGAACTAATATTGGACACTGAGGGCTGCAGCTCCGCTCCTTCTCAGCTCGGATGGGACACCAGGAGCCATCCACCAGGTACTCTATTTCATCCGCATCTTCACATTCCGTCAGGATCTTTGACAGCAGCCTGGAGAAGAGAAAAAGATGCCATCTATTAAGCTCGAGGCAATCAGCAGGATGCATTTAGTGACGGGCCATCAACCTGGATCTTCACCTTACACAGCCCTAAATTTAACAGAAGTTTGGTGTTAGCAGAAGACTGCCAAACAGAGAGCCCTTGCAGTCAAGGCCTTGTTTTAGTTCCCGTAAAAGAAGTACAGGTTCTGACAGTGCAGACCATCCCAGTCCATTCTGACAACGTACCTAAACCATGAACTAACGTTCTAATTATGCGCAATTAGAAGACAGTCTTGCCTCTTCACCCAGTTTCCCAAGTCTGTGGTACCGCTTCCAGACAGACGTCTGATGCCCCATCTAGAGCTGCGTCAGGGCTGGTGCAGGTACATTCACACCACGGCATTAGTGAAGGACAAAACAGCCTATTACATTATGAAATAAGAAATCCAAAAAGCAGCACTGCACTTCCTTCCTATTTTTGTGTCCCCAAAGCCTCCACAGTAGTCGCCCAAACAATATATGCAGCCTCCTTCAACAGAAAGAAAAACCCCACCATGCTCACCAGTGAAAACGGACCCAGTGTAGATACCTCTACCCCAGCCGACTCTCATTGCAGAGACACTAACCAGAACAAGGCCCTGACTCTGGCTCATCATGCCTCAGGGACTGGCTCCTTGCTTTGTTCTGATACATCCCACCATTTGCCCGGGATGTTTATTTGGACACAGTGTTGGAACCACTGTTCTGCGAGGCCCTACTCACTTCTGGATTTGAACATTTGCCTTCAGTACAAAGGAGAACCCACAGCAAAAATCTTACAAGCTCAAGAAAACTATTTGTGGCACACTGGTGGGAGAAAGCTTCTGCTTTCTCCCAGCTCAAGTAGGAAACGTGTTTCCACAGACGGTCCTGTCATCCAGCAGAGCAACCACCGAGGCTGCAATTCCAAAAAAGCTGACAAGGCCCAGAAGATCTTGGACTCGACCAACCAACAGCCTCCTCAGGAGCCTACGCCCCTTCCTCCACTCACAACTTCCAGCTGTGACTGCCAGGCTCCCTCCAGCTTACTTTCAGGGAGGTCTGTGGACTACCTTCATCCAACAGAACCAGCACCGAAACCCAGGCTTGAGCACTGCAGAGCAGGGACAAAGAAATCTGCTGAGCCTTCACCGGTGACGACCTCCTCCGCCTTGTCCAGGAGGGACATGTGGCATTGCTGACCTGTGGAGGTTCCACAATCCAACCCCTCGTACCTTCCCCTTCAGCCTCAGCAGCCTTGTTAGAGATCTCAAAGGAACTGGATTTTCCTGTCGGTGTTGGCCAGAGGACAAAGCAAACAGGTTATCTATGCCTAGGCTGCTTCAGACTGTCTAAAAAGCCACAGCTCCTGGATCAAATCAGCACCTACAAACACAGCAGTGCTCAGAACATTATCAGCCCAGCCCTGGGAATCTACCACCCAGGCAGAGACTCGTCTGCTCACTTCACTGCCTCTGTGCCAAGGGAGCTGGATGCACCTGAACTATTTCCCTCTAAGCTCTCCCTACTTTTGAGGGAATCTGCGTTAGAGGCCAATTATACAAGCCATGAGGGTGGAGATCATTTTCCAGAAGCCAAGAACCATGCATCTTGCTCCACCAGTCCTCAGGGTTGCTCTCGGCTTGGCTAGCACCTCTACGGAGTCAGTGGTCCCAGCCCACAGAACAGGCTCCCTGCATTTTGAGGCAACAAAGCTTCATCTGGAGGGTGGGTGGAGACCACTGTTGGCATTAAATCACTCCTTGTTGCTTCCTTTACTCTTGGACAAAAGCCAGGCAATCTATTGTGCTCTTCTCTAGAGACAGCCTCTGGAATTCATATTTCTGGAGCTGACAAGCATCGCTGCCAGCTTTCCGGCTCGCCTGAGGTGGCCCCCGCTGTCAGCCTAGCTCAGTCTGCAGTCTGCACATAGGTCTGTCTGCCAGGTCTGCGACAAGGAGAGGGAGATATCCTGTTTTTTAGAGTAGTCCTCTCCACACACAACCGCATTTTTACGCTTTCCAGTATCAAACCTCACTCAGCTATATGAGCATCACCTCCAAAGTGTTCTCACACTGCTGAATGGCAGCACCCCAGCTCTGCCAGCTTATGGTGAGCCCTCTGCTCTTCTCTTTGGTAGAAAGACAGAGCAAACTAACTCTAGTCCAGAGGGGAAACACCATTCCCATACAGACTGAAGACCAGGCGACAAGTTGAATGCCATGTCTAAAGCAACCTTTCCTCAGTTCACATCCGGAGAAGTCTTGGCAGGGCTCGGGGCATGCATTTCTTGCCTCATCCTTCTCCACAGGCTGTTTGGAACTGACTTTGCTTTAATTCTCTCGTGTGCTTTTACAGCACTACTTCAACTATGCCACATTGAAAATGGGACAGCAGAAAGACAACATCCCTTGTGCAGAGGAGACAGGGGCTGCCTCGCTGGGAACACCGAGAATGGGGATGCCGGTGTGGCTCTGTCCTTCCGGTCACCACGGGGCAGGCAGCAGCCCCAGGAGGGCAGCCAGACCCAAACACATGGCTGGGACAAAACTTTGCAAGTCTGCCCTTCACAAACCCGCTCTAGAAGCGCTGTAGCAAAAGCCAGTTCCCTCCCAGCATACCCCATTGCCTGACAAGTGCCCTGCTGCCCCCTCCCTCACCAAGAACACTGGGGACCTCCAGCCGGGAGCCCCCGGGGGCAACTGAGCACCCCGAGGTCTTGCTTCCAGGGTTCAACCACCACTGGGTGTCCACAGAGGAACCAAGGCGGGAGGCCCTGGGAGCACGGGTAGAGCCACAAAGCCTCCAGCCTGGACAAGGTATCCAACGCACTTTAATTCTGTCCCTCCAGTGCAGCTGAATCTCCTGCTTTTTTTCCCCCCTACAGGCATGCAAAACACAGAAACAGTTCCTACCAAGGCATCCTTCCCATCCCCGACACCAAGATATTCACAATGGCCACAGAAATTGTACTGTAACGGTCACACAAACCGTACAAAAGTCTTTCCCAATACTGCATTTGTACCTCTCTTGAGGACAGGACGTTCTGTTTAATAGCTGGCAGAGAAGATCCCCCAATCAAATTTACAGCATGCCAAGAATTGCTTGTGAGCTGATGAGCACCTCACACTGACAAGACAACAGGAAGATATTTCCTGTCAAAAATCATCTTATCAGGTGGTTTATTGCATGCAGCATGACAGCCGTCAACCAAGGCGGCTAGTTGTGTGGGTTCATCAGCCTGATGAAAAGAGTGAGGCAGCAAACGCTTGATTCTCAAAACGCTTCCGTGTAATGCACAAATTCAGAACAGCAGACAGTCCAGCCTTGCTCTAACACACCAAGACAATTAAGTCAGAATATTACGCACCCGCAGAATAAGCTTCCAACTTTGTTTCGAGGTGAACTTCAATCAGATGCACAGAGCAAAAGCCAAGATGCCACACCCAGCGAAGAAAAGAAAGGGGATGAGGACAGAGCAGTGTACGTACTCACCCATCGATTATTAGCTGGTCATAGGGTGCTGGTTTGTCACACACAGGGCACATCCATGTGGGCTTTTTCTCATTCATCTGTAGGTAGAAGACTGCATCAAAGCATTGCAGATGTGCACAGGTCTCCGCCCGGCACGGGACAGACAGCCGCATCTTCACTAGCTGTTGAACCAGAGAGCAGAAGATCAGCGATGAAACCCACCCAAGCTATCACCAGGCAGTTCTCCTCCTACGCAAAAAGGCTCAGTAGCCTGCAAAGCTGGGCTGGCAGTAGAACAGGATTTCTTGACAGAAAAAGGACTAAAATAAATAGCAAAGACTTACCGGACAGATAAGAGAGACACGAACACCTGTAGTAGCAATTTCACTGTCTGGATCCAAGCGCAGCTTCTCTTTTACTGCAATAAGAGTAGAGAGCACAAAGTTTAACAGATGCAAACTTCAACATCGGAAACAACATGCAGCACAGGTCAAGCAGCTCACTGGCTGCGTACGAGCCATTTCCCCCACAGATGACAACCTCTGCCAGTCAGGGACAGAGGACGCAGGAGCAGAAAGCTGTTGGATTGGACCTGGCTTGCGCAACCTGCAGAGCTCAGTAGAGAGGCTGCTTGGCTCGCCAAAAGCCTTGTGCATGATGAGGCAGTTCATGGTCTGCAGGTCAGCTGCAGTATTTACTGGCTGAGGAAGCTCACGTTTTCTTACAGATTCCCCTTTCCAACAACCCAGGTCTCCCAGCCAAACAGCAACTGCTGCCTCGCATCCAGGCAGAGCAAATGAAGGAGACCAAGTGGACTTAGGTGTTGGAATGAGGGCAACTGTCTGCACGCTATCTGCTAGCTACACTGTTAATGCTCTCTCAGCAACCCTTCCGCTTCTTATTTACAAACTACAGGCTGGGCCAGCTTTTTTATGTTAATATTATTCCAAGGCAGTCAACTGGGAGTTAACTTTGTCCCCCCTCGGTGAAGTCGGTTTAGGCTTATCTGGTCATTAGCACAAGCACTATGGATTTTATTCCCTTCCGAGATCAGTGGCAATAGGGCAGGGTTAACTGCCTCCCCCTGCTCCTTGAAATTCAGAGAAAGTCCCCCCCAGAAGTGAGCAAACATGGGATAGGGTCAAATTCACAAGTAACCCCGCTCCCAGCATTTCCCCATCAAATAAACAAGCCTCCTCTTAGTGCTACTGGGCTGTAACTCTTCCGCTTATACGCTGGCCAGCTCATTTATTCCAGCAGACTGTTTCACAGGAACCACAAACAGACCCAGAGGTACCAGGGCAGACAGCTCAAAGAGCAAGGCAGCCATGCAAAACAGTCACAAGCAGCCATCCAGCGTATACTTGGAAAGAAGCAGATGTTAGGAAAGGAGGTAGAGAATCCTGCCCCTGCTGCTGCATCCTGAAAGGAAAACCCAGAGGAGCAGCAGGCAAATAAAACAGAGCGGCAGACGTGTAGGTCCCACATGTGCAGGTCCGGCATCAAGGTGCAGAATCAACATAGAAAATTAGCTTTAAACCACTACACAACTCCTAAAGTGTAGCTGCTGCTAACACTGCTGTCTGAAAAGGCCTTTGACACTTCCAGCACCATTTTTCTTTGGAGCAAGTCAACCATTTATTTTGACCTTTTCAGATCATAACAAGATGTCTCCAGACAATGAGGCTACACGCCGTTTTGCAACACACAGTTCTAATTAGAGAATGACTTCTCAGATGTGAAATTCCCACAAGATTACAAGATTTGGTGTTGTTTTCTTCACGTTAGGAGACTTTTCATCCAAGCTTAATTTTTTGTGAAGTTCTTTGTAAGAGCTTTCTCTGTGCATCAATTACTATGATTCATGGGAAGTAGAAATGGGCATTTTCTAGGACCTCCTGATTAGAATCAAGCTGTTTCAAGACTGCTTTTGGATCCACAGCCTTGTATGCAAGCATCTCTGTTTTCAGACAATGTTCCTATACTAAAGTCAACAGAAGCATAGGCAAAGGAAGATGAGTCAGCCCCGAGATGCAACCGAAGTCAAAGGGTAGCTTCAGTGAGTACTGAGGGATATTGCAACGAACACGAAATGGAATCATTTGCAGCACAGACCAGAGCTATTAAAGCAAAGTTTACAAGCTACTTCGGGAACTGGCAAGCACAAGTCCAAACAACTTCCAAGCAGTAACAGGCCAAAGTGAAACAAGACAACATTCCTATTTGGTTAAATTTAAGGTCACCAAACACAACTCATCTCTGCCCCAAAGTCCAGCCAAAGCTGTTAGTTATCTAACTCAGTAGAACTGGAGGCACACACTTGCTACCGAGCAGAAAACACAAAAAGCAAGCTGCTTCCAGAACCTCTGCCTGCCACTCTTGGATTGAGAGGCCATCCTGCCAGTGCTGGCTTTGAAGGGAACAGCACATACTGCTGAGTCTGGCTTCAGCAAGTGTCAGAGAAGAATGACAGGATCCACTGCAGCTCAGGGCAACTCAAAAGTCAGCCTCAAGCTCAATTTTCATTTCTTCTGTCAATAGATGAGTACTGGTTGTCAAGAGTGGTCTAATACAATCAAGACTGTCATGGACACTGCTTGATGTGGCACACAGATACAGCAGCGTTCAGCATCTGCTGCAGAAACGCTGCACTTAACGTGAAGATGAAAAGTTTGGCTGAAGCAGCAGTGCTCCCCACAATGTGCATTAGGCATCTGAAGACTGGACATGCCTGAAAGCAGCACCTCCCCTATGAACCGCAACCTATCCTCAAGATTGTTTCTTATACTCCATGACCTGAATAGTACGTTTCAAAGACCATCACCATCCATGGTGTTAGTTCTCCCATGCAGAACTAAAGAGTCAGAATGCTCTCTCCAGTACCATTAAATAGCTGGAAATCCTCCAGACTCTCATGAGCTGCAAGTCAGACTCTGCCTTGAAAAGGTAATTTCCCCTCATTTTCAATAACGTTTTGCATTTGCCTCATACCATGATGATTTACCTGAGTGGTCTAGGATAAGCATCTCTCGGGATCATCTCTTCTCTGAAGCTCTCAACGCATATGAAAGTGCTGGTGGTGAAATCCCACTGCCAGCCCCTAGGATTCACAGGGGTTGGGGCAGCAGGACATTTTCACCAGGATCCCTTGCTCCAGAAATCTCCTTTGGAAATAGTGCGGGTCAAGGCCGAGGTGCTGTGGTAATGTTCATCAGCTCATAATTACTCAGGTGAAGGCATGAAGCCATTCGCGTCAGAACGACACTGGCCCTCAGCGGCACTCACCACGATACGACCTGGGGACAAATTCTAAATCCAACTGAAGTGATTCCGAGCTTCTGCAGAGCCACGACAAACACGCGCTGCAGAAGTGCTGCACTTGCACACAGATTTGGGGCAATTTCACACGACTGACATACAGCTTAGCAAGTCTGTTCAAACAAAAAGTGTTTTTATATAACCGGAGGAAAGAAATGGTAAAAACTTGGCAGCTGTTCACAAGCATATTTCTAGCAGCCTGGCTATTAGGAATGCTGCAGTCTCACAGGCATACAGAGGACCTCCCCGAGCCACCTCATAAGCAGACATACTCACCAAGCGCTTTGCAGAGCTCTGGATGTTTGATCCCAATGGTTTTCAACCTCTGCAGCAGCTCTGCTGAGGTCATCTGCCGCACTAAGTACAGCCCCACGGAATAGCTCTAATGAGAGAAGGAAGGGAAAGAATGAGCAAGGCTGCTCTTTTGCACCCGTTTGTGCAGCCCTGCGTGATTTCCTCTGGCCCGTACCTTCCCGTAATTCCCCCAGGTAACGGTGATGCGATTGGTCGCTGCAGACAAGTACATGAGATGGGTGAGGTTGATGGGACGACACGGCCTTTTAGGTTCCACTCCAGGTTTATTTGATGGATAGTAACCCTATGGCAGAAAGATTAATATGGGTTTTTTGTTGTTTTTTTTTTTTTTGTTTGGTTGTTTTTTTGGTTTTTTTGTTTTGTTTTGTTTTTTTACTCAAGATGCTTCTATGTGGGTACATCTATTCATCAGCTTCACTAAATTCTACTCACCCACAGTTTTCAAGGAGCGGGTTAGAAGGGAGCTGGGCAGTCAGATCAAGCGAATCTTTTTGCAAGAACAGTTTATTAAAAACATAGCTAGTCCATTAAAAAATTAGCTTTAAACTAAGCAGTGCACTTTTATACTCAGGCTTCTTCTTTGCATTCATCAGGAAAACAATTTCCTTCTAATTTGCACAAGTCTTTCCAAAGCTGCAATGTCACACCTCCTGGCTGAGCTGACTTACCGGCACTGAGCAGTAACTATGGTTCACTTTCACGGCAATGTTCGGAGGGTACTGATCCTCCTGAGGAGAACTAGTGTCTGTGTAACAGATTCTGTAAAGAAAGGACAGGTCTCAATATCCCCATGCTGTTTGCGCATTGAAAGCTCTCTGCACATCGGCAGCTACCAGCAGCCAACCACCACCACGCCAACCCAAGCTCCCTCATCTGGCCAAAGCAAAGCCAATTCCGCTCGTCCCTCCCAGATCAGACGCAGGCTCGATACCTGGGCAGCAAAATCTGACACACTGCTGTTTCCTACTGCAGCGCTAACTCAAGCAGTACATGTGGGAAGAGGTTAGAAAGTAGAGTTTAAGATGCTTGCGTTAGGCACGTGAACAGAAAAACTTGCTGTAAGTTATCTTTGTAGCTATGAAAATCACACTGAAAGTCAGTATTTTTTGGTAGTGCATTCCCTCCTCCCCTGTTCCGCCCCTGATGTTAAATCAACTCCATGCTCAGACATACCTTAGCACAACCTGAACCGATCTCACACCAGGTTGCAACTCCCTAGTAAATTAAAGAAGAAATAGGAACTTTAGATTAATTAGGTAAAAGAAACCCAAAGCCACACACAAAAAAACCCAAAACAACCAAAATCAGCTGTCACTTTTGCCAGATTTGAGTTTTAGGTCTTTTTTTTTTTTTTTTAATAAACCTTCAAAGAATTACTATACAGAATTTTATTTAAATTGTACAATTCCCTCTGCAAATATTGGTGGTCCTGTAATTTTTTTCCCCCTAATGCACCATCCTACAGCCTTTCTGTGTGTTTGCAAAACTGTAAAAGTGTTGGGTGAAAGATATCCATTTCCTTGGCATCCTTTTGCTGATTTGTAGGCATTTACAAAGACTAGGGTTTTAAGGTCAGGTTTACCTGACAGTCGTCTTTGAAGACTCTCTTTGCTCAATTAATCAGCTAAAGCTGTTCATGCAAACCAAGGAACCAAGTACTACGGCACCAGCAGAACAACTGTTAGTGTTGCTAACTTTAGGGGGGCTGTTCGTAACAGGATTTCAGCTGGTATCAGGAAAGCAACATATCACACAACAAGGATATTTTATTAGGAGTCTTTATGGCCAGGTGTCAAACATACTCTAATTTCTGCACAGGACACAAGGCATTAGACAAGATCCCTAAATTTGTCTTGATCTGCCTCTCAAAGTGTTTCACACTCCAATTCAGAGTTCTAGTAGAAATGTTGTGATTTTGAGGGCGGAAGGGATGGAGCCTCAGTTCAGCTGACAGACAGGAGCTGATGGGGCAGTTTTCGATTTCGGGGAACACATCCGGGTACTACTCACAAGCAGTGGAAAAAGATGGACCTGAGCTGTGTGATCATTCTAGGCTCTCACCGAAAGCCCTGCTAGGAAATATCAGCTGTATTACTGAGAGTGTAAGTTTTCTCACAAATCTGAATATCAGGAGAAAAGAGTGTCAAGAATGAGCTACAACACGTGTAGTCTTTCGTCGCCCTTAAAGACTTCTGTGGCATATCATTTCCTTTCTGTTAAGTCTTCAAACATCTTCCCCTGCACTGCTTCTGTTGACCTACTGGGATCACAACAGTAATCAAGCACTGAATATTCAATAAACATCAGATTTCTCTGACTCTATGATAACAGTACGATTTTACTGTGAAGAGAAATATTTGAAGGTTTTACGCTTAGTTTTGGAGGACCTCTTCTACGTCATTGTCCTTCCACGGCAGCAAGGACCAAGGGAGCAGGTCAGCAAAAGAGGAAGCCTTACTGCCTGCGCTGACACCTCTTAGGCGCTTCATTGTTTGAATCAAAAGTTGCATCATGACAGAGGTCAGGGTAAATCCTAATCAGTGCAAGATGATTCCTTATGCGGTTACTATAGCATCCTTTACAACAAGGAAGCTTTCTTTCAGATGCAAACAGCGTTACATGTATAGCTTTTGAACTTCTGATGCAAAGAAAAACCTGCAAATACTCACAACACTAGCTCAACAGAGAATTTAGGTCATCAACAATTTCATACTGGTTTTCCTGCCCACATGGACTATTCAAAAGCAAGATTAGAGGAGCAGAAGTAAAACTTAGAGACTTGGATGGGTAAAATTGTACCTCCCACCTCCCCCAAAGCTATTTGCTTTCCATGAGAAGCAGCCTGTCTGCTAAAGTCCTCAAACAAACTGTGTTTTCCTTGCAGAGAACAGAAGCTTCCACAGGGAGAGAACACAGAGGAATTATACAGCTACGTTTTCCTGAACTGTTAATACACAATGAGAGGTACCTGGAATTTCTGATCAACTCCACTTGTCTTGCTGTTAATGCAAAAATGCACGGACTTTCCTGAAGCTTCTCATTATTCTGTGGAACTGAAAAGGAAAAAAGATGACTGTACATCAAACTGATAATATCTAGATCTTCTTACACTGCTAAGCACAAGGTGATTTTTTAATATTCTGAGCTATGTTTACTTCTAAGTTTTGTTTTCTCCCTTACAGCTGCACAAGAACTCCAATTGTCATGCATTTTGGTAAATCTGCGGTTGACTACAACAGCTTTGCTCATTTCTTGCTTGCCTGTTTTGCTAGCTAGCACACTCACAGCACACAGTGGATTTGGACTTGCTTTTTTTTTTTTTTTATTTTTCCATATATTTCCTCCCCTCACATAATCAATTAGCCAACAATCACCTGTTCATATAAGAACAAACCATAAGTGGTGTCACAGTGTGGAGACTAGAACTCCAAGAAGCATGAGAAGAGATCTATGCATGACATGAAAGCGTGAAGCCACCAGACTGATTCTGGAAAAGAAAGGAAACAACCACCAAGATAACTTAGATAACAAGAAAGCATCACAAAAAAACAGCTGTAAAAGAGAAAACATGACTTACAAACACATGACCTTGAGGGTGCATTTACAGGTAAGGTGTTACAGCACTCCACTTCCAGAAACACTTAAATGAGAACCCAGCATTAATTGGCCTTTTATCCATTCATAATTTCAAGATCAAATGCGTTTAACATGGTTAAAATCAAGCTTGAGATGGGGAAAACTTACGTCATAACTTCTGCTAGTACCTTTTATTACGTTCAAACACGCTAAGTTTTGTTGTCCGTACACGTTTCCAACTGAAGTCAAGGCCCTGAGCTGGTGAAAGTCACAGGATAAACACAACTGGAAATGATGCAACAGCTCTTTTTTTTTTTTCTTTTTAGCAAGAATTTGGTGTTTTTCTTTGCATCACTTCAACTGATAGTTTATTCAAAGCCAATATACCAGAATTTGAGAAGTAGGAAAGTGCGCTTTACTGTCTATGAATAATATGGAAGAAGGATATGAATATCCTATGAAGAAGAGTGAAGGATAAAACCTCAGCAGCTCTAAGATCATAGAAGACATGGTGACAATCCAATGCACTGACTATGGATACGTCCCCTTGGTAATTCAGCTTTAAAAATGCAAAAATGGCTTTCAGAAATAATAATTAAAAAAAAATAAGATCTCTTTATGGACTTTTAAATTAATTCAAGTTTCCATCCAAATGTCTCTTGACCATAACAACCCGCAAGAAGTAAAGCATTTCACAAGGACTGTTACCATTCACCACTTCCTGAAAGTAAGAACAACAAAAAATACCATTTTAATATTGTTGCTTAAATAACTGTCTGTAGACACACTGCCCTCCTGATTGTTGAGCTACACAAAGACAAAGCAAACACAATTAGGAAAACAGAGTCATTCTTCATGTTTTGTTTTGCATTTATATCAGCTCACCCTTCCTTTACAAAGAAAAAAAAACGCGTGGGATCCTTCTCAACTGCGCTCATGGAAACCTGCTAGAGTGTCACGCAAAGCACTCCAGTGTTACCTGGACAAAAAAGAGCTGAATTGAAAGCAGAGATCAAGATGACAGCAGGCTGCTAAACAGACTCAGGATGTGTCCTTGCGTACCTTGTTGCCAACAGCAATCAAAACTGGATGCCTCAGAGTAAAGTGCAAGAGAACTTTCCCCAAAAGACTGGAAGAAAAAACGCCCCGAGAGAGACCTGCATCCAGACCCAATTCTCCTTCAAAATCTTAACACTGGAAAACCAGCCCAAACTCCAGGAGGTACACTTCCAGAGTATCTCATCAGCTATTCATTTCTTTGCTGAGCAGCCAGAAAAAAAATTAGTTTTCTAAAGCTAAATACTTTAACTGAGTTTCATTCTTTCTCTAGGATAGATGCCTCTGCACTGAACTCAGTTCCTTGTCTTGTAAAGCAGCTGCTGGGATCCATTTATTTTAACAGTTGACAATAGCAGCAAATGAATTTTTAAGACTGAGCTCGATCAGCAATCCTCAGAATGAGTCAAGACATAACTTCCAAAACCCAAAAGGACTTGGCAAACCATATTCAAGACTCTAGCCCAACGTAATTGCAATGGATTCCCCATTTGGAGAAGCCCTGCAGTTCTTGATCTGGCAGGCTAGACCATGCCATGCAAAATAAGGACGACATTAATTTCAGGGTTTCCCTGCACCAAGAGGATTTTTGTTTGCCTTTTTTTTTTTTTTTTTTAAAGGCAACATTCCTCACTATTATACTTCTTGGTCAAATTCGCTAAAGGAATTCTATCCCCCCAGCAAACTGAAATCATGTTGTCATCACCGTGGCTGGAGATCCCAAAGCCAGATCAGCCAGAGCCGAGCTGCTGGCAGGAGGCTTCCGAAGGGCTGAGGAGCTGGTTGCAAGTTCGCATCCACATCCCTGCTCCTCCACAACAGCCCACTGCAGGGCACAATACAATACACAGGGGTGGTTTTTTTCCTCCTTGGCTTTTGGAACTACTCCGACTAGACTGAAGAGCATTTGTGTTCATGCAGGGGCCTGGGGAGATGCGGCAATTTGACTGAATGGCATCTTTTTTTATTTTTGTAAGTGGCAGAAGCACTCATCTTAACTCACACTGCAGTTTGTTTAGGTGGATACATCAACAGTGCGAGCGTGTGCTTTTCTGGGATTCCTCGGAGAATGCCCAACGCAGCGGTGTTTGCTCTGCAGTCAGGGGAAGGCAGTTGCCTTTGCCACAAAATCGGTGGCCCCATTTACAGCGACCGAAGTCTGGCTGCAGAGGAGGGGGCTGGAGCAGCAGCTTTACTACTTCCACATGACAGAAGAGCAACACCACCGCTGCAAGGCAGGTGGTATCAAAAGGACAAAACCAAACAAATCCTGTTTACATTGACAGTGGCAGGAGGGCCCCGCCTACACGGCCTTCTGCTCCCACAGCTGCACCGCAAGATCTCCTTTGGCATGTCTCCAGGAGAAGACCAGAAGCCTCAGTATCTGCAGTGAGTACAGGCTGTCACAGCTCACATTCGGAACAAAACATCATTCAGAATTCTTTACAGTATACTATTACCGTCAAAAACTATATTCACACTGCTTTTACCCCAAAAGGTGCCACAGGATAAGTACATTTATCAACAAGGTGCTCAGATACCACCGAGCTCACATAGCTACCCTGCTTGTTAGCTACTTAAAATACAATGCAGGAAAGATATTAGTATTCATTCCCTCTAAAAAAGTATCTGGATCAATCTTAATTTTAAGCCTTATCTACCCAAGAGAACTGCAGCGATTTCAGAAGAATTCTTTCATGTTGACATCCTTAGACCGAATCAGAAAGCTGCAGCAGAAGCTGTTTTCATGCATGTAACTCAGATGCTAAACTTAGTAAATTGACTAAAATTGTGCGTGTGCAGTTACCAAATATGAGATATCAGCTGGTTAGCACTGGACCTAATCTATTTGCTTTTAGCTGAAGCCACCTTTGTCTACAAGTCTAACAGTAATTTGACAGTCCTTCAGGGAATCTGCTTGGCTACAGACCAAACCAGGCATCGCCCACCTCACCTTTGATCTCCAGGCAATCACCTCAAAGAGGCAAGAGAGCCTTGTCATTAAGAAAGATGCTTCCAACTGAAGTCCAGAACATATAAATTAAGCTTCCCCTACTCCCACCATGGCATATGCTTAAAATACCTCTTTTGTAGCCTCAAGAAATGGGGAACTATAACAGCAGCTACATGTTTTTAAATGGATCCGAGATCTTAAATCTCATTCATGTACTTCCATGTTACGAGTTTTTACAGTTGACAAGGAGCTTATGCTGGGTCCAAACACAGAATGTGAAATCTGGGCAACAAAGCATGAACTGGTGCAGCTTCCACACAGAAAACACTCTTCCTCAGAGTGCTTTGTTTAATCATCCTTCCACACTAAGCAGAGCCCTACACAAGCATAACTTTTAATGTCAAAGCTCTTTCAGCACCCAACTGCTCCAGGTATAACTCCAGGTTCACAGAAACAAATGTTTCTCTTTTCACATCGGTGCAGGCAGAAGGAATTACAGTTGCAGGTCGCCAGGTTGGGAAAATTAAACAAGTGTCTAGAAGATGTCTTTAGGTTCTGAACAGCTGACTGGGACAATGAAGAGCGAACATCTGTTCATACCCAGCTACTCGCCACCAATCCCCCACCATTACGCAGAAAACACTCCTCAAAACGGAAAATGAGTCAAATCTGCTTTAGGGAACAAGGTGACCCGAGGGAGGTGTCAGCTAACAGAGGTGAGGTACTGAATTTAATGAGACCTCGGTTCTGATCTGATGTAGAAAATTTAATATCAACTTTTAACAACATATGTTAATCAAAGCATATCCAGGCTTTTCTCTCTCCGGATGTTTCCACTTTTGGAAAATTTGTTTTCCTTCAAAAGACTACATTTGCGTTCCTGACTAACAAATGCCACTCCACATTTGTGACTGAACTAACCCATTCCCCAAACAGCATTTAAAATGTTTTAGCTTTACATTGGCAGTCACCCCTCACCTGTTTTAATGGTCACATCAAGTATTAACATATCTAATGCCTCCAAATGAAGAGGAAAATTACATAGAGTCTGATGATTTAGTCCTTTTTTCTTTTGTGCCTGCACAATCATGTCCTCCTGTATCTTTTTTTCCTCCAATCCACATGCACATCAAACATTTTTTCAGCAAAGACAGACCAACTTTCCAAGTTCTAGGTTTACTTACTAGTGAAGCCTGTTATCACCTCATTGAGGCACTAGGCTCAGCAGACTAGAATGATACTTCTCTGTACACACTGTCTTCGCTATGAGAACATTATATTTAAGATCCGTGACAATACTCTTTGTTTCTAAGAATTAAAATAAGGAAAAAATCAGACTGCTAGCCCCGGGGTGGGAAAAAGCACTTCCTCCAGTTTTCCTAGCTGCCCCTTAAAATACACGGCATCAAGCACAAATAACTGTGACAACCACAAAAAAAAAAGCCAGAAACACTGTTTGATGTGTGTACCACCCTCTTTCATCCACAGGAGGCTTTAGGTCAGGTATTTTAAGCACTGAAATATAACGTTAGTGTAGAGTATGCCAGTATACTTGCTTAGCACAGGTGCGACACCAACACAGCACAATTTTTGTCAATATACTGCTAAATTATGAAGATAGAAGACAGATTGTGATTCACAGCAAAAAAGGACTGCAATGTGCAACACAGCAGCATTTCCAACGAAGGATATGAAAGCTACAGCCATACAAGACAAGCTTTCAAATTACATCTCAAAGTGACCACATTACTGTTCTATAGCAAGTTAAAAAAAAAGATATAAATATTCTTCTCTAAACTCTACGTACGAGGGGAAAGAGGGGGGAGAGGAAGTCATCCACCACCATATTAATCAGTTTCTCCGTCACACGACCTTACAGATCCTTGAAAACCCTGTCACCTTTTTGATGAACTTGTTCACTTCTCCTTCCCAGACCGAGCCCATCCTAGATGCACCAGCATACTGAAAACTCACCTAATTCTGTCGGCTTCAACAGTTCATCCAGGGTTGTGTAGAAGGGAAGTTTCACCAGCCGAACTTCTGGCTTCGCAACTTTGGGCGGCAACCTTCCCAGTCCGTTAAGATATTTCCCATAGAGCGCAGGATAGTCAATATTAGTAGTGGAGATAGAAGTCCGAGCAACGGTGCTCCCACGGTCGTACGATGAATGTATGGAGAGTGCCTCGGGAGACCGGTGCTGCTGCGGCTGAGGCTGCGCGACTTCAGAGCTCTTTTTGGCATAGCGAGTCTCATAGAGCTCCTTAATTTTCTTGAAAACTTCGGGGCTGCAGTCAAATTGGACCAATTGCAATGCTCTGGTGACTAGTTCATGTTTAAGTCCGCTTTTACTCCTGCCAACAAAACCCAGCAACATCTGAAGATCTGAGACTCGGAAACTCATCACCATGTTCTAGGGGATAAAAAATTAAAAACATTCTTACAGTTATAAAAAGGCAAAGCGTCAGCTCTCACTATACTCTATAATTGGAATCCAAAATAATAAAAAAAAATCCTTCATAACAAAGCTGTTATTCTCCTGATTAGCATCCCATTTCTTAGGTACTTGTTTCAGCAAAGACAGAGGAGACCATCAATTCCAGTATCACCAAAATCAGAGAAACACACGGTAAATCGTCAAATCACTCAAAATCAGTTGTGATAAATGCTAAGCAGCATCCTCAAGACAGTTTGACTGGAAGCAAGAGTGACCCCAAAGGAAAATCTCCCAAACAGCAGGCCCCACACATCAACTCTTTTAGCACAGAGGCTCCAAGCACCCAAACTTCCCAGGCACCTTTGGTTGAGAGATCTACAATAAAACTCCATCTAAAATGCTATTAGTGTAAGGCAAAGGAAGAAAACAAATGTGAACTGGAAGGCAGGCAACATTTAAGCAAACTGGGGACGCCAATCCTTTTGTACTGTATTTCAGTGCACCTGTATATTACCTGTACGTGATGAAAACCCTCCACAATCTTTCCTACATACACAGGATCTTTAAAACATATAATGCGTTTTAGACCATGGAAAGATATTAAAAGACTATTAAAGAGAGCAGTCTGTTCCTATGAGAACAATGCCTCCAAACTGTTTGGGTGCTTTGCCAAGCACTCCCCCATGATCACAGCCAGTAGCCGCCTTTGCTGCTGCTGCACTGGTATTATCAATTTCAGTGTTTTGATAAGCAGTAAAAATCTACCTCTGTCTTCAAAAATTTACTCTCTTGCTGCTGTGGAAACTCAGAAGGCCTGCAACTGTCAGCAGATTCAAAGACCATACTATGCTATATCCAACTTTCGATTAGTCTAAAAGCTAGAAAATATTTGTTAAAACTACTGCTAGAGCCTGGCACGATTGACGTTTCAGCTCTCTCTCTCATGACAAAGCAGCATTACGAACATGCAAAACAAGCTTATCAAGTACATGTTTTTGAAAAGTCAGGCAGCCCTGAAAATATATTTGACAGCTACCCAAATGTATTCGCTCAATATCCTTCCTGGTTTGTGGAAAACACAGGAATTCAAGAAGCAGCCCCAGCTGTCCCACAACTAAAAAAACAGAAACAGAGACCCAGCAAGTCTCTTTTCCCTAACCTATACTCCACTCTTGCTTCTGGATTAAATAATTAAATAAAAAAAAAAAGGTGGCGTAACAGTCAGATTTCTATGGAAGTTAACAGTAGCGTTGTAATCTCCTGGAATAAAACAGCTATGGATTTATTTCTTTATTTCGAATTGAGAAAGCTACTACTGACTCCACAAACATTTAACAGATGCTTTTGCATGTGTGGGAATTAGACGATAGAGAAAATGCTGTTTTATTTTCTTAGTTTTCATGAAATCTGTCATTTAATCTAGTAGCCCAAAAGATGCTACAGAAATGTTATTGGTGGCAGTTAAAAGTTTTGGCAGTCATGACGCGTCCCAAAATACCTTTGATGAGAGGAAAGAAAGGCAGATAACTTTAAAGATGAGAGAAAGGATGTTTAATTGCCAGAAAGTCAGGATTCAAAAGATCTGGATTCATGTCACTGCTTCACTAGATACCTCCTGTGCAATCTTGCACAAATCTAGTTTGTGTGTGCCTCAGTTCTCTCCATAATGGAGAGCGCATTGTCCTCTCTGAAGCACTTTGAGAATAAACAGCATATTTATAAAGATAAGTATGTCAAGGCAATATAAATACTTCAACAGTGTGGTACCAGGGAAGTCACAGGAGCACAGCAGATAGGTATTCCCACACCCACTGCTCCTACACCACCAGTCACTTGGGACTTTCGGTGCGTAAAGCAGAGTTTGAATTCATATTCTTCTGCAGTTTATATACAGTAGAATTTAAGATCCAGAAGGATGACCAGATTTAAGCAATAACAGAAGAACAAGCTTCAGACAAAGAAAACCTGCCACTGAAGCTTGGACCTGCATGATAATGTGAGCGGTAGAGAGATCACATTAACTACTAAGATCGTTAACCCTGAAGTCTATTCCTACCCCGAGGAAGCCTTGCACACGAGCAGCAAGGAGCCCATCAAACACCTGCTATGGGGGCAGCCAAGATGCCTTGGAAGCACTTCTCCTCTGGAGTCCTGGGCTCAGCTCACAACACTGAGAGGGGCCCGAGAGCAGGGAGAGGGCAATGCCTCCTAAAACAAGCCTCTTCAGATCTTATTTTTGCAGCCACCTAAGCCACATCCTCACTGATAAACTGATCCCACAGGTGCTCAACACTTTCCATCCGCCGGTGTTGCTCTGTAAGCACTCTCAGCGCCGGCTTGCCCACGACGTTATGGGGTGAAGCCCCCTCAAGTGCTGCCGGCCGGTCCTCTGCGCTGCCACACACCGACAGCGTGACATGGAGAACTCCCAGCTGCCAGAGAGGTGCCAGCAAACAGGGACCCAGAGGGAAAAGAAGAAACCCACAGCAGAGCAGGGGCCTTTTCCCCCAGCAGGCCCGACGGGGTGCACAAGACACCTCAGAAACACAACACAACTTCAGGCACGCTTGTTGGGAAGACATTTCACCTCACCCCACTGTGGAGGAGCCTCGGGGGCTGCCCCAGACCC